CTAATTCAAGGAAAACGCTCAGCCCTAAAGTAGCACTTGGCTGGGTAAAAATAAAATTGAAATCATTAATTTAACAATATAAAAGTAAAATATGAAGAATATTTCTCCGTTATAATTGAGGACGCTTCAGTTAAAATGCGTTACATGTTCGCTTTGCCTCGTTAAAAGATTCCCCGTTTGCTGAGTAAATATCAAACGATTTTCAGAGATAAATAAAATAAGCACTTTGTTTTAGTGACAAATTCAAGTTATATAACAAGAAATTATTACGATAAATTCAACGTTACATTGAGATTCTACGAAATGATTAGTAATTTATTTATGGACCAATATAAGTATAGGTACGCTTTTACAACAAAATCTCAGAAAAGGTTCAAAATTTGTAAAAGAAGTTCAAAAATTATCTGTCTAAAAATCTTATCCCGCTTGGTTTTTTGCTGGTTTTTCCCAGAAGCAAATATTCCGAACCAGTAAAAAATAAAATAAACGAATTTCAAGAGGTATAATGATATAATCCATTTTGCATAAAAATATTAAAATATTATCTTAATCGACTAAAACCTAAAGGAGAGATCAGTTAGATTAAAGTAGGACGTAGAGGTTATTACTTTACTTGGCATTTGCCAGTGATATTACATGTAAAAAGGTGAACCTAGACAACCTCTACATTCTCAGCGAGTGGCACATTAAAGACAACCTGTAGCTGCAGCGGTCGTTAAACCGCGGGCTCGTTCTGGGACTTTACTGGTAATCAATTCATAATTAATGACTCATCTTGTCTGCCTAACTTAAAACTATCTCTCGCTAAGTTTGCAGGCGTTACTGCCTCGGTGGTGGGCATGAATCCACATACACAACTGCCGTCTGATGGGATTTAAAAAAATAATACAGTTCATTTCCTCTAACGCTGCGAGCGCGGGTAATGATCGCTCCATGAGTTCTTAGCCTTTTTGATAAATAACCAACCTGTCCTCTTTTGTTTCACGCAGGGTACTCGCAGCAACATATACTTATCTCTATTTCGCTCCCGATAATTAGACAAGTCGTAATTTCACATGTCGTCTAATTATTACTGTGACAACACAATATTGCTTTATTTAAACGCACACAGCGTTTATATGTCCGTTTGTGAACACTGAATGCTGTGTCGATAACCTATTTATTTGCTATTCGATTTTTCATATTCGTACTGCGTTGACATAATTATCTTCAAACCACTTTACTGGAAGTATATATTTACGGTTTGCTGGGTGCATAGCTCTATTCACATTTTCTAAGTCACTAAGCACAACGTTAATACGTAGGTAAGAGCGGTAAGAGCGGGTGGCCGTTCGAATAGTTCGTGTATTGTATATTACGAGCAATTTATTCTGCACTATTCAGGAACATCTTGTAGAAGTATTCTACTGGCATATGTTTAGTTATTACTGTGGATCATAGATAACTTGATAAACAAAAATAAAACATAACAAATAACGTTTCAATATGTGCTATCGTTATATATATATATATATATATATATATATTATATATATATATATATATATATATATATATATATATATATATATATATATATATATATACTTGCTACACGCCCTAGGATCTGCTAATATGACGTTATTTTGATTTCAGATGATCAAATACCATTTCAATTATCAACTTTTTGTTTTTTGAAAAAAAAAAAACAACAATATTTTCGTGTAAAATATAGCCTAGATTCTTCTTGGCATTGCTCTCATCTGTCAGCAATTTTTTTCAAAAAAATTTTTAAAAAAATTCTCGGCGTCGACATATGTGGTCACTTGGAAGAGAAGGCCAAATTGGCCTCTAAAAAACTTTGCGTGCTCAGCAGAGAGGGACAGTATTTGATGCCGGCACAGGCAGGTTCGGCCGCACTGGTATACTGTACCCATCTTCGGGCTGGGACTCCCCAGTGACAGTTTCTTCCATTTGGTCGAATCCAGCGCAGAGCTGTTCGAATCGTCGGTGACTGAGCTCTTTCCAATCGGCTTGACTCACTGGCACTGCAAAGAAATGTTGCATGCCTTTGCGTATTTTTTTTATTTTTTTTAAAGAATATTAACAATGCTATAAACATTACTAATATCCCCCTTAACCATTCGTGGTAAGCTTAAATTTGTGTTACGAGTGGTTCACGCCAGTAGTCGAATGGCGGGTTGGAACCCACGACCTTTTAGAGTTCGCGGTCCGCGGCCTGCCATTTTGGCTACTGTCGCTTCAAATTTTATATTTTATCGCATTTACCACGGGGAGTGTTCTAGATATTGTTCGGACTAATTCCTGCTGCACGATTTCACCATCGCTCATCGCGATAAAACTCGCGATACCATCCATGCCATTTGGATGACTGGCGGTACACTACCGTGCGATTTAAAAGAAGTTTTCTTCCTTGCACGACTTCCTTGTGGAATCAACTGACACCAGAGATTTTTCCGGACCGATGCGACTTGGGGACCTTCAAGAAAATAGCCTTTTAGTAGGCCGACAACGCATCTGCAATTCCCCTGGTGTTGCAGTTGTTCATAGGCCTAATAGCGTGTAAATACCCCCTAAGCTAACAGAAGCCAGTTATTTCAATAATTCAGACAGATACTTCAACTTTATTTATAAAAGTAGTTACACATTTTTCTTTTTGCACTAGTGTATAATAAAAATATATCCATTAGTATTCCTTCCAATCGTCGTTTATCAAAGAAATTGCTCCTTTCAAACACCTTTCACGTATTTCTGTTGCTTTATTTGCATTTCATCAGGCTTTTAGCGAAGCTTTTCAAATGAGTGGACTTAAGTAACTGCGAAATATAGTTAGGTACCTACGTAATGCCGCTGTTTGTTTGATGTTCGCTCTGCTTGTGCATTGAATATAAAATATAAATATAATACGTTGAATAAAACTAAATTTACGGATTCTATCGCGTTTATTTAACTGATTTTACTTATTTTTAATTCCCGAAGTTTCGGGTGCTTTACAGGAACCATGGTCATGAGATGTTTGACGTCCCAATGTCATTGTTAGCCCGGCTACCTTCAGTTTTTGAATATTAATTTTTGGTCCGATTTACGCAAAACGAACTTACAGTATCTTGAAGTCTTGCAGTGGTATGCTTGGGTTTGGGTTTAATTTTGTTAATTATAGGATCCCAAGCAGATGGCAGCACCCAACCATCTTCTCTATTGAAATTAGGATGTTTTTTAATTTCAATAGCCTCGCGTATTCTATTCATCCTTGGTAGGAATCGGTGTTCTTTTGCGAGTATTTGTGGTTTATCAAATCTGATGTAATGGTGGGGACGATCTTGAACATGTTCACAGACTGCAGACTTCCCGGAACGTCGGTACTTCACGTCAGCTATATGTTCTTTCACGCGGATTTTTATGGATCTTTTTGTTTGACCTATGTAAGAGAGACCACATTCACAATCTAACTTGTACACTCCTGCATCTTGTAGAGGGATATTACACTTGACGGATGATAAAAATTGACTAATCTTCTTCGGCGGCTTGTAGTATGTTTTAATGGAAGCTCGCTTCAAGATGTAGCCAACCTTGTCTGTGACTCCTCTGACATATGGTAGTACAGCAGGCACACGCTTACCTGTGGCCGGCTTCACTCGGTCACTGTGACGTAGGCGCGGGATTTGAAGCTTGTTGTCTTGCAACACTTGCTTAACATGCTGCAGCTCGGAAGCCAGATGTTTTCTGTCACAGATCCCTCGTGCTCTCTGAAACAAAATTTACCCACGGTAGCTTTTAAATAACCGATATTTAAATGGTGAATCTCACCATCATCCTTCACAGTTAGCTACCGTGGGTAAGTCCACAGTTTTTTTAGGTTATAGTTACGTTATCATAGTATCTCAAATTGGAAATATATAAGTTTTTATTTATTCATTTATACATATATTCTTTACTGCATTCCTTATTATAATACAAAACACAATACAAACTTAATATATAAGAATACAAGGGCAGACTTAATGCCTTGAGGCATTCTCTACCAGTCAACCCATTGAAAAGATTTCTTCCCGGCTGTGATTTGAACAAAATTTGATTGATTTTATGTGTGAGTACGTGAATGTATTATTTAATTTTAAATTTATATTTATACATTTTATTTACTTCACCTTATATATGTTTTTATCTTTGATCAACTTTTACACTCAAACACATCTTTTATACATCAACTTCATATTTTTGTGTCTGCATCCCCCAAAATCTGACTGGTAGTCAATGCTTTGGGCATTTAAGTACGCCTATATATCATATATTATGGTCCATGTAGTTAAATTAACTAATTTAAACCAAGAATAAAACATATAGTAAAACGCTAAATGAACACCTCAAGTTAAGGACAAATCAATAACAACCCGGCCGTTTATTAATACAGATCCTTGGTGCGTAATCTATTTTAGGTCCGTATGCGACACAACCTATAAATTATTGACTGTTACTGTTACTATAAATAATACTTCGTCCAAGTAGTGAAAGAGTATGTTTGTTTTAATAATAACATAATATTGTATGTCCAGTTTTTTCTCCTATATTATTTTATTATATTTTATAGCTATGTACATATATTATGAATTTAAATTTGATAACTGAAATACAAGAAAAACCTTATTTATATACATATAATATGATGTCATGTGCCAAAAATATCTATTCAAAATTCGTTACCAGCTTTTAGACCATAAGTATTTACGGTACACCCTGGGTAATGGCCGAAATTTATATTAGATTAGTCTAATAAGCCACTTAGTCTTATGAATTTTTCATTTAAGTAACAAGGAAAATTAGACTATATCGCGAAAAAGCAACATCTCGCAAAAGCTACATCCAATTAGTTGTCATAAAACATATCAGTAAAGTTCTTAAACGATTACAAAACATTATGACATGGTATTTGTGTAGACCTCTATTTACACAATAATTATTGAATTTAATGATCTAAAGTACATCTTTGTTCTTTCTACGCTTTAGCGCCAAATCTTCGTGTTGAAACCAAGTAGCGTACACCCGCAGCGGCTCGGGGGACGAGTGCCGGTGGAAAGAAACCGGCCGGTCCCGCGCCAACACTTCCCGCGCGTAGTCTTGTGGTCGCACCTTAACATAATTAAAAAAAATTAGTAAACTTCCACAAAGCAAAGTCAGAAAGTTGGCGGTGTTTCATTAACACCTGTGTCCACAACACAATAAGCTGTTTATATTGTGCCTGATCTCTCTTCAGTCGTGTCAAATGACCGCCCATCGGACCATGTAAGTGAGAGAATAGAGAGATCACCTGTGTTTGCGCATTGTGATCCTGTAAAGCGCACATGCTAGTCTCCGTTGAGCCACCGTGACCAAAATTGGTTCTGGGAGACATTACATATTAGGCCTCAGGGATGATAACTAAGACATTACATATTAGTCCTCATGGGTCATAACTAAGACATTACATATTTCATTATTCATTTATTACATAGACCTCAGGGATGTTAACCAAGACATAACATATTAGTCGCCAGGGGTGGTCACCCCTGAGGACTAATATGTTCTCAGTGAAGTGTCTTACAATATCTATACTCAATTACCCTACGAAATAAAGCAGAATCAAGCTGTTATTTTACGCTTTAATCTGTGAGAGCGTAATCCTACTTCAGTCAAGCGGACCCATTCGTGCTACGATAACTAGGGCCGATGCAGATGCAAAGGTAAAATCTTTTGCTAGCATCAAAACGGAGTGGATTAAAAGTCTAAAGTCATAACTAAAGATAGTTATGACAAAAGATTCAATCAAATGGTGTGACATTGTGCAGATGTAAATTAGGCTACGGTCTCCTATTAAATGTTATACGCGACGTCCGACTTCAGAGTAAACGTTCCGATCGGCGTCTGAACGCCAGGCACAGCGTCAGCGGTCAATACATATTTTACAAACGGACGACGCGACGTCTAGACTTTCGATCAAGCAACAATTAAGTAGCCGACAATGCTCATGTGTGGTTGTGTGTCATATTTGTACATAAAATGGATATAAATTCAATACTTTTGGGGGCGCTTGTGTTACTTAAAGAAGAGGCACAAGACGACCGTATACGAAGAAAAATAAATGCAACAAGGATGTTTCCAGCTATTGATAATAAAGCACTTAAAAGTTCTAAATTTACTGAATATTTTCGTATTAATCAGGAACAATTTAAATATAATAGTAATACAGTAACTCGTCTTTTTCTTTATTAAATTTTGTCATTTTGTACTGACGCTAGACACGAACTTCACGCTGCAATGGTTCGAAATAACTAGAGACGCAGCCCACAGCGTCTTAACGCCGCCTACGACGTCCATACGCCGACATCAGCTTGTGAAAGTGACCACAACAGTACATTTCTATAGTAAGCATCGTAACGCGGCGTACGGCGTGACGCTGTAAGCGGCCGATGGCGTTTATAGGAGACCACCGCCTTAGCAATTTGATTAAATTACAAACCTTGTCTGCATTGAGCTACAAATATTGCCGAAGAAATATGTATATTGGCCTACGAGTTACGGAAGAGATAAATTTCAAAGAATCGTTTTCTTGCTCCATGGGAGCTCCGCTCGCTTTGCTCGCCCTGCTCTAATAATATGGCTGCAGCGTTGCTCTACCACGTAAAAATTTACAGTGATTTTTTTAAATTGTCGCGGCTACGCTGAATTTAACTTTGGCCGTAGCTTATTTATGAAAATTACTTTATAAAAAAAACATTAATTAGAGTTATTATACCACTAAAGAGTACATTACTGATAATAACTCCTGGAAATGAGGTGCTCGCTGCCATGCTGCTTCTAAATCTTTTCTTTAATTATATGAAATTTTATATTGTAAATTATAGTTTTAAAAATTGCCACTTTGGCTTTCTTGTTGGTTCTTACCACGAGAAAGATTTTTTCCGAACCAGTAGCAAAAGCATAAATGGCTTTCAATAAGTATTCACGTTACCTATATTGATTAATCTAACGCTTGACAGATGGCGCTATTTAGTTCTATTCTATTCCATGACGCACCTGGTGGAAGTGCGGCGAGTGCGCGAGCGTGACGTTGCGTCGTCGTGCGCACGCGCCCAGCGCCATGTCGTCGGGAGCGGCGCGCGTCACGCACGCACACGAGCCGAGCTCCCTCGCCGCGCCCACGATCAGCACCGTCCCGCCCCCGCCCGTTATGTACCCGTAGCCTAGTGGTATATTTGATTCTGTTCTATTCCATGACGTACCTGGTGGAAGAGTGCGAGTGCGCAAGCGTGACGCTGCGTCGTCGTGCGCACGCGCCCAGCGCCATGTCGTCGGGCGCGGCGCGCGTCGCGCACGCGCACGAGCTGAGCTCCCGCGCCGCGCCCACGCTCAGCACCGTCCCGCCGCCGCCCATTATGTACTCGTAGCCTAGTGGTGCAGTACTTGTCAAATTCAAATTCATTGATTTTTCATTTATTAAAAAATACTAGCAATGCTATTAGTAATGTTCTAATATTTTGTCCACTACTGGTAAGCTGAAAATGCTTGTGTTAAGACGACAGTAGTCGAAAGGCGGATTCAAACCCACAACATTTTTTTGTGTTAGCGGTCCACACTGCCATTACCATACCACAGGTACCGTCGCTACAACTAAGTTATGTGTTAGTAAAATTGGACGAGGTTATGCAAAATCATCCATACTTTATAATTTGAGTTATTCTATTATTAGTAGTATCTTAACAATTCGCGCAAAACTGTAAATTACAGTTCAGTTAAAAACTTTCCGTCGTTTGTTTGTTACGGATCGTTTCTTTTTTAAATCATCAGTAGTTTTAAACGACTTAAATTAAACGACGGAGTCATTCACCCGTGTCGCAAAAATTGGCCACGAAAATACATACACACACCGACGTAAAGTAAAACCTAAAATTCTGACTCTAAAGACATCGAAACGTTGAGATGTGTCAAAGTTTTCTCTTTAAACTTATAACAATAACTTCCTAGTAGAAAGTTTACGCAGTTATCGCCATGGGTAAGGAAACTAAGTTACAGTGTAGTTAGTTACCTTTGGTGGCAGTTTCTATTTTTCATCACCGATAACAGTGAGGTCCTGCCCGCCACGGTAGCAGCTTAGCACTTCGCACAATCTCTTCACGCGAAACACCAATTAATATTATAAAGTTTTTATTTGTATAACTCAAAACAACGAAAACATCTATTGTTTTTTTTAAACATTGCTTCAAAACGCCGCGAGAGACGAAAGAAGGAAAAAGACATAAGCAGACTAATTTTGCAAAATTCGCAAAACTGCGACCGCTATCAGGACAATGATTATAACATAAATTTGCCATGTAGTGGAAGCGTAAGAAAATACAATACCCCACCATATAAAAGGAGAATTGGAATAGAAGATGGACAGTGGCATATTATTGATAAGAACTCAGTAAGCTGTGGTTACCAATCTGCCTGCCGAGTGCGGCAGCTTGGGCAAACATCCTCCGCCCTGTGACGCAACCTCTAGGGAAGCAAATGTTCAGGAGTGGACTTTTGAAGGGCTGTAATGATAGAAAATGAATGAAGCGTTAGTTAAATGCCGGCATTTAATAAAATATCCAGCTCTTTAGTCAAATTGCTTGTACTCGTATTATAATTCTAGACACGAGCCACTATGACGTTTATTTTAGTTTCATTATCATATCCTGAACGCTGTCATTTAACATCGTTGCGGTTTCACTAGCACTGTAGTAGTTCGAATAACTGGCTGATTAAACCATTGGGCTATAACATATTTAGTTTCTTAAAATAATACAATAATTCACCCCAAAATAGTATCGTCATCAGCTAAGAATATCCATTTAATGTGCGGCATTTCTTCCACCATTTTGACCGCTCGTTTCAATATGGCTATGGTTTTGGCACAATGTCCGGTTTTAGTGTTTGGTACGCCTATATCTATTGTTGGAATGGATGGATCTGAAATGGTATCACATAAATAACAATTTCGTAATTGACCCTATCATAATGAATCGACAGAGATTAAAAACATCTATATAATATTAATACCGTTAAAACCTATTTAATCCACTGCTGAATGATCCCCATAGATTTTTTTATAGAATAGGGTGACAAAAGCGGACACAGTCCACCCGATGGTAAGTGGTTGCTGCGGACCATAGACATCTACATCTATCCTCGATTACAAATCAAAATGCAGATATGTTGTCACCCGCGAGGACTAAGATGGAATGCCTCGTTTCCAGTAAAAAGAGTCTCCGGTTCTCTATACTCCCCATACGAAACACAGCAGCATTAAGCTACTATTTTACGCTGGTATTCTGTGAGAGCGTGGTACTTCCCCAGTCGAGCCGATCCATTCGTGCTACAACTATACTACTAATATAATTGCAGCGCGGTTCTACCACGTATAAAAATACGTGTGGCACTCGGTGACTGCCGCGGTAAAGCTATTGCATAGCATTTTTTATCAACTTATGCAATTATAATTATTTATTTATTTTATTTATGCAGTTAAGTCTTTGATATTAAATCAAGTTACACTTTTTGAGCGTGGTGACCGATAAGAAAACAATTTTTTTTCTCTTATTGAATAAATGAGAAGTTAATATTGTTTAAAATATTTTTAATATCTTACAATACATGTAGGTTATTCAGGAATTTTTATCATTGAGTTAGAAGCTAGTGTACACGCATACGTCTAGTCGCACGCACACAAACACCGTGCCGAAGTCTGCCGAGTGCCGAAGTCTGCCGAACTGAAACGACGTTAGACGATGCACGGCTTTCAACGCCACACCTCCGTGTCCGGTGGGGAGCGTGAGGTTTTTTTTCGTTACAGAATTTCTGGATTCGGTCCCCGCGCTCAAGGCCCGCGATAGAAGCTATGCAATAGCTTAAAAAACTTATTGGGAAATTATAATGATTTCTTATATTTATACGACAACTACATGAATTAAAACTAGTTTTATTTAACGGAACGGATAGCGTTTAAACAACTTATTTGTAACTAAAAGATCAATAAAACGGCGTAAAAAATGTAGCTAACGGGGAATCGACGCCTATAAAAATCAATAATTTTTATCATTAATTCATCATTTCATTGCAGCTTTTAAATATCCGCTGCTGAACATAGGCCTCATAGATTGCCTCGTGGGGGGATTTTGCCATAGTTGCCACGCTCGGCAAGCGGGTTGCCAACTACAATTTTGTATAATTTTAAGTTGTTATCAGGAAGATGCTGCTGCCCATCTCCTGTGTCAATTTCCGTTTGTCGCCTCGTAAGACAGCCCGGGCCGAAAATTACAATTTAGCCATACTAAATTAAATCAATCCAAGCATACTCCAAGATTTCAAGATACTATAAGCTCTACGCAGAAGTAGATCCGACCAAAAATTTATAATTTTGAACTATAGGTAGCCGTGGTTAACTAAGAAATTTGTCAGTCTCCCCGTGACCATGGTTGTTGGATAAAATAAGTATATGCGATAAAACCCTATAAACTTAGTTTCGTTATTTTTATTCTTATTAAATTAGAATATAATAAACTTATTTTTCACTTGAATTGGTGTATTTAAAAGTTATTTTTCGCTTAGCTAACGATCTAATATCACGCAATAGCAGAAGGAGAAAACCGATATGGAACACTAAAGAAGAAAAAACAATAACGTAACCGAAACCAACGAACTAAAAGCAATAAAATAGTTTCCACCTAAGAGCTTCTGAAGTCAAAATTTTGATTGTTTTGATTTGTCACCGAACTCTGAAGCCTTTATGTGGAAACGATTTTATTATTATTAATTCTTTGAAGTGGACTGTTACTTTATTTTAATAAATATGAATATAAAGTAATTTTAAACTAACCTTTACCTGATTTAATTGCAAAAGCTTCACACAGAGCCACTTACTTATTTAAACAATTTACGTATCTATCACCACAAGCACACACCGCCTAAATTGTTAACAGAATAATGGATACGCTCGTTAAGCCATACGTTTGTGAATATTATAACAATGTTTGCAATCAAACACGAATAAAGGAAACCGAACATGAACGATATTTGCATGTATAGTGCTTATTCATCTAACATACCGTATTAATGCAGGCACATAACGTATGTTCCGTAAATTTAATTTCAGTTTAGAGTACCTGCTTATTAATTAATGGATCCTGGGTTCATACCTGGATACATTTATATATATATATATATATATATATATATATATATATATATATATATATATATATGTATATATGTATGTGTGTGTGTGTGTGTGTGTGTAGTAGTAGTAGTATAGTAATGACTCCTTATTTTCACCCACACTCTATGACGGTGCCATAACAAAGAATAAAAACTTAAAAAGTAATTTAAATATCAAAAAAAAAATAAAGTTATTATGTATTGTGATGACATAGGTAAAATTTTGGGCATGATGTTAAATAACCATTTAAAAGGACAACTGATTAGTAATTATTGTATGCCTGGGGCATCCTTTAGTCATATAATGAATAAAGTTTTAACTAGAAAGTTTTGTCCTAATAGCACATTAATAATTCTTGTTGGGAGAAGAGACAATGTAAACAAAAAACAATTATTAGAATATATTGATTACCTTAGTACTTTAAATGTACATAAAATTATTACATACAGGGTTGGCCACAGGAGAATAAAATATGATTTAAATTTATTAATGAATAATTTGTCATATAACAATAATTTAAATTTGACATTTAATTGTAACAATTATACTAATATAATTAATTTAATAGACATTAATATTTTAATGAAGAAATTTTTGATTACAGATAGGTATTACCTATCCAAATATAATTTAAGACAAATAGCAAATGTGCTATCTTATTATGTATTTATATATTAACTCAGCCAAGGACTTGGCTACTCAGACATCTGCTCCTATTGAGTAGAGCATAATGATTTGACATGCAATTTGGAATCTGTTCCAAGTAATATAAATCAGAAAATGAGACAATAGAGGTAATTTCCAGCAGATATAATAATTTAAATAATTTAGAATGTAGCTTACAAATCCTTAATAGTTGCAATTGTATGACTCCACAAAATGATAATACAAATTGTTTTCACCTGGTGCATCAGAATATACAAGGCATGATAGGCTAAGAGCTAGAAACTGAATTGTTCTTAAATAGCAACAATATTCATATTTTATGTATTACTGAACATTGGTTAAAAGCTCATAATTTTAAGTTTAATTTCAGTAATCACCAGGTGGTCAGTTCTTTCGATAGAGAAATGGTTTTAAGAGGTTGCTCCTTAATTTTAGCTAGTAAATTATCATGTAAAGAACGTAAAGATATTGTGATCCTCTCCGTTGAGCGAACTGTAGAAATGGCATGTGTTCAGTTTGAGCACCTCATT